TTCCACACACGGGTGTAGGACATTGCTTGCGTTTAAGCCAACAGTGGCAGCTGTGTCACCAGATGATGTTTTTTTGTTCCACAGTACCCGAATGCTTGTGAAAGAGCTGCTATACTTGTCTTTACCACTGTGTGGGAGATGTGCACCCTCGTCTGCCTGGTTTGAATGTGTAATGTCATACAAGAACACACAAATGCAAGCTAGTGTTCTTAGGTGAAAGTGCTGACTTGTTGGGACTACTGGTCGTAAGTTTATAGACACTGCAGTCCTCCGTCAGACCACATTTACCACCATCATTTTGGGAAGGTGCTGAGTTCGTGTTTCTCCCATTCAGACAACGTACATAGCTGTGTTAAGAAAAGTACTGAGTGCTTTTTACTGTGAGTTGGGGGTTCTGACTTAAAGCTCTACTGCATCTCGCTTTGGTGTAAAGAATTTGAAATTCTTGTTTTGAGTTGCCTTAGAAAACTTAGTTGCTAGTAAAAACTTAGCACAGAATAGACAGTAGATGGTGATTTCTGCTCTTAGTACTGGTACTTTCTGGTTGCGTGTTGATACGGAGTGGAAATGAAAGAGAAGGCTGGATTTGCTGTGTGAGCTAGCCGTATTGCTTAGAGGCATCCCTCCTCAGGGTTGAACAGAGTAAAATGTAGCTGGTGTTTTTGAAAAAAAAGTAAAAAAGGAAATAAAAAAGGACATAATTAAATGGAGCTGTCAGAGGAAAAGTTCTAGCTTTAGATTGACCTGTTTTTCCAAATTATAAAAGCAGATTCAGTTTTGGATAGCTAAGGCTGGCCAGAAGGTACTGGACTAAACAGTCGGTACGTAAGAGGTGGTTACAGTGAGTTGGCAACTTTCCTCTCAGCTCACTGGCTCTGTAATGTAGAGCATGGAGGTCAGGCAGGTCTGAGTACCTGTCATCTGTTGAAAGAATGAGAGTGGAAGGTGCTCGCAGCTGGACAAACTAACCTAGGACGAGGTAGGATAGATACGTGTATCAGGGACAACTGCAGTTACAAGCCTGTGGTCATGATCAAAACCTTAGTGCAAAAGGAGGAAGTGGTCAGGAAGTGTTTCAGTTACTGTGTACACAGCTGTGCCCTGACATGCACCCTGAGAGATGTCCTTGAAATTATAAAATAACGTCCCGTTTTCACTGCTGTCTATCTGGTTGCCTTTGTCATCTACAAGACTTGCCTTCTGCTTTTTACAAAATGACTTGTTAACCGTTACTACAGGTAACTGTCCCTGACACTGTTCCCTGAAATGCCGAGAAGCTTCACAGCTACACACCAGGGCTGACGTAACACCTCTTCGTTCTTGACGCTGCAAAAAGCCTTGCAGTGTACAGCAAACCCGTCTGTTGCCTCATCTTAACTGGACCTGTGTAACATGAAGATGGTGCAGAACTTGATTCCAGAAACAGGGATGAAGTGGAAGCCAGCTGAAGTTCAAAATCTCTGTAGCAGTAAGCAAGGTTAATGGTGTTGAAAAAACATCCTGTTTCATTAATTGAATGGGAACGTCCCAGTGTCCAAGTGAACTTAGTCCTGCTTTCAGCCTCCATTTGCACAAGACATCTGACAATTTTGCAGCTGAGAACAAGGACCTTTTGAAAGCAACAATCCCTTTGTGCCTTGTTAAGAGAGGAATCTGAGACTTGGAAGGTGTGGTTATTCAAGAGTTTATCCCAGAAGGTTGTGTAACAGATGTTTCTTTTTCCTTGTAAGCTGTTCAGTTCCCTAAGAGTAATCCATTTGGTGAAAATACTTGAAGATATACTAAGTACTTTGATATTTTGATTTGTTTTTTAATTTTACAGGAAAAGAAAGAATGATGATTTCCTTCAGAGAGTTAACTAGAAAAACCTTAGTCTAACTTCCTTTCTGGTATACGTTTTTTAATTTATTGCCTGGGGGGAGGATGTTAATTTTGCCTCCACTTCAGTAAAGAATCAGTCAATTGAACTGTAGGTATCTAAGTGCTGGTAACTGGTTTTTCAGCCTTTATGACTGTAGAGTGCAAAACCAATTTAATGAAATTGTTTTCTGGATTTACACTTGGAAATGCTGATCTGCAGGTTTCCTATTCTAAGCATATTGAGACTTTGTGCATTGATTTGTTTTGGCTATGGGGGGAGACATCCTGTGATTTAAAGGTTGTTTGGTTTTAAAATACCAAAGCTGTTGTTTCTAAATAAATACCTTTCAGTCTAATCTGATCACTAAAGTGTGGTTGGTTGGTTTTTTGGTTTGGGTTTTTGTTTTGTTTTGTTTTCTGATCTGTGTTCTCTCCTCCCCTTGCTCCCCCACCCAGTTAAAACAAGCAGAGCCTTATTTTACATCTGTGGCCAGTATTGACTACAAAAGTGCTTGGATTAAAAGGAAATGCAGTGTCGAAAATAATACATAAATGGATTTAAGCTGGTAACAGACAATTTGGAAGGCACAATAAGAGACAAACACACAGGGTGGTGCTAATCTCCATTTCCCTGGCTCTCTTCTGTCTTGAGGCATGCAGGCCAAGCTTTAGTTTGAAGAACACAGAAACAAACCCAGGGAAGAATCAAGTAGCAGATTTAATGGCCATCCAGCAAGTAATGAATTTGGCACATTTGATGCTCCCAATGAAAAGCTAGGGCAGGATTTAACTTTGAATTTTGAAATAGGTTATTGTCTAGTTTCAGATGAAAAACCTCCCTCAAAAGTAGATTTCGGTGTCTGTTACTTACCTGCAGAGCTTTCTACTTACTAATTGGTCTAGCGTAGTTCCTACCCTACAGAGGAATAAAGACAGGGAGGCAGTGGAATATGCTGTAAATTGTATCCTGAGTACACTGTGTATTGACAGAGATACTAGCTATTGTGGTTTAACAGAACATACCAAAAGTTCCTGCTCTTTCTTTCTGAAGTTCCATGAGCTGCTTAGTTTCTGTGAAGCACCTGGCTTGAAGATGATAAGAGCTTCCAGGGTGCTGTTTCCAAGCCACCACGGTATCAGCTGGAGGCTGAGCCTCTTGGTGTTCACTTGCAGAACTGCCAACATACGATGTCCACTGACTCCAAGAAAGATATTTCAGCCTATTTAGACTAGACCTGGAAAATACGGGTAAGCAATCATTTCAGAAAGCAGGAGTGGAACAACAAAATATGATTCTTATGAGTGTTCCCCCCATATCATAAAAGAACTGCTTCAGAATTCCTTTACAAAGAAGAAAGGGAAATAGAACAGGGTTTCTCTGTTTACAGCATGCAAGATAGCAGAAGGTTATCTTTGAGAAATCGCAGAAATGCTTAAAAAAAACAAAACAAAATTCCGTGTTTACAAGCACACCCAGAAACCAGGAAAGTTGAAATAGTAACAGAACATTGAAAATTTATACTTAATTTTTAGTTGGTATTTGGTGATAACGGCATGGAAGTTAAACTGAAAAGCGTAGTATGTTGTTTAGCTTGCAAATTCAGACATTAAGAAGAGAGCCAACTGATGAAAAAAAAATTTAGAATCTCAGTTCTGCGTTTAGTTAATCCTGATTTAGGCTTTTGTCAGATAATTACTTCAAGATGCTAGAACAGAGTTTGGTTGATTCCATTTGAAATTCAGAATGTGGCTTTCTCAAGTGCTATTGTTTGGGTAGGATAATGCATTCTTGAGAAGCAGACAAAACAGCAAAGCATTATGTATTTCTGCCTTCCACATATGTGCTCCAGGTGTCTTTCATCCAAATCAGTACCTACTGCTGAATGGAAGCGATGAAAATCAGGGATTCTGCTGCTTGTTAATACTGACCTCAAACAATAGATTTATTTCAGCTTGTTTGAAACCTCTAGTTTGGTCTGTGTGTACAGTGCAACTCTGGTTACAAAACTGGCATTAGGATATTTGATTCTGTTCTAATCTGTTTGCTTCCTAAGTGTGATCTGGCTTATGGGATAGAGATGTTTGTTTTTTAAATAACCAGTAACAGTTTTTCAGGTGAAGTGGAGGCAGATGGAAATGTGACAAAGGATGGAAATTGCCCATAGTAGAAGAAAAAAAAAGGAAGAAAGAGCCACAAGGGTGTGTTCATATCAAGTCATTGGTAATGAATTAGGACACTTTCTTTTATGGCAGCAGCTCTGTAGTGGTCTAAATGCCTGCTCTTTCCTATTAGTGAAAATGGTTTACCCTTTTTCATTAACAAGCTCACACTGCATGCTGATTTAGGGTGTAAAAATGCTCATTTGCAATGCTACAGGAACCCTGTTCTCTTCCAGAGACGTGTTACTGATCTGACAATTAAGAGTAAACAGGAAAGAAAGGAAGTCTGGCTCACCGTGCTACACCAGTGTTTCTCCGTCATCATGGACAGCTGGTTCTTTGCATTGCTTGAAACATCTTCCACTTCAAAGTGATTACAGTTTGTTTTGTTGAAGAAGTATGGCATGCTAAAACACATGCAACTCGATCTAGAAAAGAAGGCACAGGTTTTCAGTCAGTACGAAGTCGTAGCTGCCATTCAGTCACAGAACAAACCAGAACAAAATAAAATTTCAAGCAATCAGGATCATACAATAATTAAGGTTAGAAAGGGGCTTCCAGAGATCGTCTAATCCAACCCCGCTGACATGTCTGAATCTATCACTGTCTGAACGTATCAGGCACTGTTGCTGCTGACATACCATCGACACTTGGAATAATTCATTTAACGTTTTCCTTCTGAAAACACCTTTGTGATGAACTTTCAAGGCAATGGGAAAGCAAACAGCTGCTACAGATAATATGCAACTTAGTTGGAATTTTTTTTTTTAACAAGTAGTTTTTATAGCCTGGATCCAAGGTCCATCTAAACTGGGGTTTTTTTTAGGCACATGTGCAGGTAAAAAATTGTTCCACAATTACACAAGTTTTCCATTGGTATCAGAATAGCACTGCATTTTAAGTCATGTGTTCCAGAGATAAATGCTAACATATAAAATGGCTTGCAGAGCAGAGCCTGCAGCATACAGCTAACCGGCATCATGCTTGGAGTCCTCTTTGCTGTGCTGACTCTGGCAGCTGCAGGTACGTACCCAATTTCAGCATTAGTTCTAAAGGAAAAATGAATTAAAATCTAACAGCAACTTTCTTTTTTTGAAGGGAAATTAGACATTCTGCAACAAAGCAGAAAGGGATACAGCATAGGCAGTTAATTAAAAGTTCTCTCAAAACAGTAACTAGGTGCTGCACTATTCTGTTCTTATTAGCATTCGACTAGCATTACTGCTCTCAGCCTTTAGCGAGTTCAAAGTTATTTTAATTAGCTTGAATACACTGAAATACAGTTAATCCACGTCAAATTGTTGCATTGGCTAAGAGCTGCATCTCAGCTGACACATGAGAATTTGATTAAGCCAACCTGATTTGATTATCTGCCAGAAAAGATGAAACCGTTCAAACAGGCTTTATACACCATTGGTCAGTTTTGACTGATGTCTGTATCTTCACTTCCATCACAGAACGGCAAGGGTTGGAAGGGACCTCTGGAGATCATTTAGTCCAACCTCCTGCTAAAGAAGGTTCACTTGAGCAGGTTACACAGGATGGCATCCAGGTGGGTTTTGAAATCACAGCCTATGTTTGTACTTTGCAATGCTCTGTACAAACACAGGCCACGTTTTTTAAAAAGCCCCTCCCTTACAGGAATTTTTTAAAACCTCCTACTTTCAAAACACACTTATCCTATTTTGTATGTCTTCTAGCCTTTGGCTGTGGGGTTCCTGCCTACCCACCCGCCATGTCTAGAGTTGTTGGAGGGCAAGATGCACGACCGTACAGCTGGCCCTGGCAGGTTTGTCATTTTGTGCTTTCCTTGGAACGATGAGGGTTGCGCTGTCCTCACCCAACATGGCTGAACAAAACCAGGTCTTACGTTTCACTTGGTGCATCTTGCCTGTCATGTCTTAGGTTTTGAATATTACATTCTGATCAATCCCAAGTTTCCAGTCTTTTTAAGAAAGCTCTGAATGTGTCACCTCTTGCTGGTTATGCAGGCTTTCCTGTTCTCTCAGTAGTCTTGGGCACTATCCCGTATTTAAGCAAGATAACTGTGAAATTCAGAGGAGATACAATGCCTGCTGGAGCATTGTTGTACATGGAGTTCAAAAATAAATTTCTGAAGCTAATGCTCTATTTGGGCAGGCTTAGTGAGAGCTTTGGAAGAAACAACATTAAAAAAAATAATAAAATCAAGCTTTTGGATGATAGGGACAGAGGGAAAACTTCTCTGTGGCCAGAAGCTGGAAACCTGTTGCTTAAAAGCCTCTGGGTATGGGAAGAAAGTGCAACAATGAAAAATCAGTAAGCAAAAATCTGAGCCTCACTTGATACGTTGATCCTAGGCCTCCCTTCAATACAACTCAAATGGCAAATGGCGTCACGTCTGCAGAGGAACCCTCATAGCAACCAACTGGGTGATGGCAGCTGCACACTGCATCAGGTAAACCGTGGAGTCAAAGTCTGTACCAGCAAGCAGTGCATGACCAGAGACAGAGGAAGCAAAACAGTATTAATGCCCCTTCTCCCTTTCCCAGTTAAGAGCTCTGAGTTTCGCATCATATCTTTTGATTATAACTAACAGTTCAGAAGAAGAAAGGCACCTTGTCTTAACATAAAAGTTGAGGGGAAAAACCCCCGCATGTAATTACCTGAATTATGTACTCTTCATTTTCTGTAAATAACTACAAACATCATTATGTTTTCAAGTTGCTATTAAAATTCAGCTGTGTTGCCCATTTCTGTAACATAGGTGGCAGTGAGATCCACAGATTAACTAATCAATCCACTCCCTGAAGAAACAATCACAAATATTTTGAATATACCAGTAATTTTCAGTAAGCTCTTCATATTATGGAGCAGTGTAACAAAGAAATGATCAGGTACAGCTATGCCCTTTTGTCATCAAAACTGTTTCAACAAGGACAACACCATTTTGGTTTGGTAGCATATGTCCTTAAATATGAACGTACAGTTCTTGCTTACCATAACACCAAGCTGTCGAAAATAACATAATATGAAATAAGAAGGATTTTCTGCATGTTATTATCATAAATCCTACATATTATATCTATCGTACAGTTGTTTATGAGCGAAGCTGTTTATCGTTGTCAAAAAAGCAGTCCAAATTGTTTACTGCATTGAAGAATACGAGCTGAATTCTGCAAAGATCGGAGGCATCTTGAGTTTGTTAATGAAGCCTTAAGCAGGAGTTGATAGGACGCCTTGGAGATGAAATGGTTACTAAGCCTAGTGCACAATGCTTCGTCCTTAGCAAATTGGACACTGTCTGTGCTCCAGACCAACCATGCATGTGATGTGAGATTACAGTCTTAAGGGTACTCTTACTGAATATCTCAGGTGGCAATGATGCAGATGCCTAAGCAGCAAGCCAGCAGCTGCATAACTGAGTGCTAGTCCTTTCCTTGCCCAGTTCTTCCAGGCAATACCGAGTATATCTTGGAAAATACAACCTGGCAGCTGTGGAAGAAGGATCAATTGCACTTTCTCCAGAAAAAAATCATTGTCAATGAGAACTGGAATCCACAGAAAGTTTCAAATGGGTAAGTTGGTGACAAGTATTTTTCCAGTTATTAGATGCAGGGCAAAAATCAAACTGCCTGAATCCAACCCACCCTGAGTTGTGGCAGCTAAATGTGTAAGTGTTTAGAGCCTCCTGTTACGGCTTGCAGTGGTACTTCTAAATGTTTGCTCATAGATGAGAGTTGAGCCTCCAGTTTGTACCTTTCCCCCAAAGAGAGGATGAAGAACTGTCAGTATTAATCACTTATTGATTAATTGTTTTTTCTGATGCCATTGTGCATGTTCATGCTTGGGTGGGCAGCTGTTCAATGCAATGATTTCTTTTGTACAGTGGAAGGGAACAAATTAATTTACACAACACTCTCTGAAGCTCTTCTATGAGCAGCATGAACACCGAGTATTATTGATCAATGGTATTAATATCTTTGTTGCTGAAGGACTCCTATGTCCTGCTGCAGGCTAAGGGCATTAGCAAAGAAAGCCCCTCAGTTTCTAGGTCCTTGCAGTTGCTCCTAATACATGCTTGGTTTTGGTGAAAAGAACCTCTGAAAGGCAATTTCCAGAAAGCTTCCAGGAGGAAAGCGGACAGTTCTGCAGGGAACAGTCTTCCAGTTCATGGATTTCCCCATTGCTTTGAAGGTGGAGGAATCTCTACTGCTTATGTACTGGCCTCCTTTCTCCCTTGTATCTGTTTTGAACAGCCCACATGCTGTATAACTGCTAAGGATTCATGCTATTGTGTCTTAATCTATTTGCAAACCTCTTCATCCCTTCCTCACTCTCAAATATGTACGTATGACCACAGGTATGACATCGCTTTGATCAAACTCACTGAACATGTCACCTTAAGTGACCACATTAAGCTGGCCTGCCTCCCTCCCACACAAAGCACCCTATCATCCAACACTGCCTGCTATGTGACAGGATGGGGGCTACTGCAAAGTAAGTACTTGGACATTCGCAAAATTGTGTGACAAAATCTTTCAGCACTGCCTTTTCCTATGAGATTGATTGGGAAAAGGCTGTTGATGGTGCTCAGGACCCCCTCAACCTCAATGCGGTGAGGTAGTTTATCAGGCCCCAGTTCACTCACACAGTATGGTTTTTCCCTGCCGTTCAAGATAATTTTGCTTGTAATGGGGCTAGTAATGCACTAGAGGGCCCTGTACTGAGCTTTTAGAAGCCATTGTAACACAAATGTTTAATAGTGTGCAGACTGGTAAATTTGCTAATCCTAACACAACCCCACTGCATAACTGAAAAGACACATAAGAGAATAGAAGTAAAGTGAAGAAAATCTCAGAAATGTCAGCTTGGCTGAAGAGGCAATCCACAGAGTGATAAGTAAACTGCAAACTCCTGAACAAAAAGCAGCCCTTTATTTGCCTAACAACAAGACTTTTTTTAATGGAAAACAAATTATTAGTAAGTTAAGGCCTTTTTGAGAGAGAGAGAGAAAAGAATAGAGCTAAGGAATGGATTATACAGCTTCTCCTTTAATACAGCCCCCATAGAGTTTCTTACCTGGAGGGATAGTACCCAGATTCTGGGAGGAACTTAACAATGACATTTTATTCTTTCTTCAGTGCCAGTTGGTACCATGACTCCTTTGTTTCTGTTCCCTCCCAGCAAATGAAGCTCTTCCAGATGTCCTGCAGCAAGGCCTTTTGCTGGTTGTAGATTATGCAACTTGTTCCAAGCTGAGCTGGTGGGGAAGCACAGTGAAACCCAACATGGTCTGTGCTGGTGGGGATGGAGTCACCGCCAGTTGTAGTGTGAGTCCAGAGAACACTGCTCTTAGGGCTTGGTTTCAGACATAAACTGGCCTGATAGGAAGGAAGGCTTACCAAAAAACCCAAGGAGGAGCTATTCACGCTGTGACTGCCATTAACTATGTTCTCCCTTCCTCCCAGGCAGACTCTGGTGGCCCACTGAACTGCCAAGGTGCTGATGGCAGGTGGGAAGTGCACGGTGTCGTCAGCTTTGGCTATGCTCTTGGCTGCAACTATTATCAAAAGCCTTCTGTCTTCTCTCGGGTCTCTGCTTTCTCTGCTGGATCCAGCAGGTAAGGTTCTAGGCATTGCTGTGAGAGAACACAGACACTTGGCTGTTTTGGAAATCTCTAATGGAGATTTCTGCTGCCTACTCAGGGAGCTGTATCACTTTTGATTCCAATGCTGCTTTACATACAAGTAACCTCTGTAGACAAGCCCTTACCAGTGCAAAAGCAGTCTCTGCAGCAAAAATAAAGTACCCGCTTCTTAAATAGTCATCCAAATTATTTTCACTTTTAAATAAGTCTTGATGTTTAGGAATGCATTTTCCCTTTATTCTAGACCTACATTTATAGTCATAAAGATTTTACTGGTATAACTCCAGAAGTGATTACTCGAATTTGTATTCATCAATAACACTGATTGTTGCAATTGCATCCTAGAAGGCAGCGCATGCTGCTCAAGTCTGGAACATCAATTATTTTTCTAATTTAATATAAACTTTGATCTAAAATGTAACTGAGAAGCAAAAATATTTTTTCAATTATTTAAATCCTGCATCTTGGATGCAACATATACTACTCACAAATTCCTGGGTCTCATGATCTGGTTTTTCACCTGTTTTACATTTTTTGTAGGTTATGGCAACCAACTAATCCAAAGAGAACTGGATGATAGATGCCAAGAAGGAAAACAGTCTGAATAAAGTCATAATCGTGACACCTTTGATCACAAAGAGCTGGAAAATGACGCTTTTAACAACAAAAGTATTATACCTAACCGTACTGCAATAAACACAATCTTTTGCAAAATGAAAGAAAAACATGTGTCCCTGTCACTTCTTCCCGTGTACTGTCAGGACCGGAGCCTGTATTTAGTGATAATGCTGGAGACCTTTTGCAGCCTTTCCCCTGCCTTGGGCTGGAGCTTGCTACCCTCACCTGGGGGAAGATGTGAGCCTGCTGTGAAGAGGCTGGGCAGCAGGAAGAGTTAGCGAGCCACAGGAACAACTCCGGGGGGTAGAGGGTGAGAAAGCGAGGCACTGGCAGGGCTGAAGGCAGCAGGCAGCTGTGGGGACCCCTGAGTCTGCGAGCGGGACTCACCAGAGCAAGCAGCGGTGATGCCCAGTGGGAAGGCAGCACGCGGGCGAGCAGGTCCACGCAGGTGAGTGCTGCAAAATGCTTTTACAGCGAGGTTTTTAGCACCCTGTGGTCTTGAGAGCTAGCAAGGGGAAGGGTAAAATCCAGCAATGAGTGCCAGCAGCATCCCTGCAGACCCATCTCCTTCATGTCGCCATTGCTCGTTTTTAAGTTGCCGGGTGAAGACCTCTGAACTGCCGCCATCAGCCGACACACAGACACAAATGGGGATTTTTCACAAAGCACAAGCAGAATCACCACCTTTTAGCCTGGTACTAAATCAAAGCCCCTATTTATATTTCTTTCATTGTAATAAAAGGCGGGCAGTACAAAATCAAGGTGGAATTTTGTTATGTTTTTCTTCTCCCTCCTGGCACACCTTCAGGTGGATTCAAGAGTAAAACGATTAATTAAAAAAGGGGGACAAGTGACTCAAAGGTAAGCAGTAGACAGAGTAAGGAAAAGATTAGAAGTTTGTTATGAGAACAGAAATGCATCTGGGTTCAAAGACAAATTTTTCTAGGCTTGTGGTTCCTTTCAGTCAGAAATTTTGCAGTTGCAACCTTTGGATTGAAAAAAAGTTTTTTTTTTTTTAATTTAAAGATAAATTGTATTATTGTATTATTGTCATCTTTGGGGACTTTACTTTTATTACTTTTCTTCCACTTTACAACCATTAACCACCACTTGGCTGCAAAGAGTCCAGCAGAACCTTGTTTTGCCTAGTATCAGCCTGTGCTGAGAAATAGCAGGCTTTATTGGGTTTTTGTTTATCTTATTAAAAATGTAATTTCACCTATCTGAAAGAGCAGGAGATTGGAGGAGGGCTTTTTTTCAATCGCCTCCACTATGCAGAGGAAAAGAAAAAGGAAAAAAAAAAAGACTGAGCTGAAAGCAACCCAGTCCCCGGTTTGTTCTTTATCAGTGGAAATAAGGGTTGCTCAGTTATTCAGGAGTCGCCAGCTTCAGCATAACACCCTGAGTTGTTTTCGTGAGTGTCATCAATGTAAGATTGTAAATGATTGATAGTTCTGAAAATGAAAATCGTTAGAGGTTACTTTGCTGTGTGGAGCATGGATGTCAATTATGTGCAGCATGAAAGGGCAGAAAAGGTAATTGTGAAGCTCAAACAGTAAAAATTGGATATGCACATGCTTCTGTAAAGCTGAAACAAAACTGAAATTTGATTAATTTTCCTTTTGAAATATTTAGACAGTATTGTGGAAACATCTGAGCTCATTTGAACTTATCAACACAATTTAGTCACCATCTGCAAATTCCTGTTAAGAACAAACTCTGAAAATTTGATTAAAAACATTCAACAGTTCCAGTTTGGAATAAGTAACCCATCTTCTCATGGGCTTTCTTAAGATTTGGATAGAAGTACCACTGAGAATAAAACCTACAGCAAATTATTTTATCAGTCTTACTACTCACAGAAAAACTGTGTGTTTTTGCAGCTCTGAATGTGTCATGGAAACAGTTTCTTTACTCACCTTTTCTTTTAAAATAAAAGGTCAGGTGGAACAAAATATAATATAATATGGCTTTCAATAACAGTCAGCTAGTGCATGTTCCTGCACTTTGCTTCAGAATGCATGTGAATTTTTAAGTCACTACTAGCCCCAGCTATGTTTTAGCAGCTGCAAGGAACACCCCAGGGATCAGAGGGATCAGATATCCACAGTCTTTGACATCCACAGTCTTTTTTTTTTTTTTTTTCTTAGATGTCCTCCCTCCTCCAATGCTGGTGGTAGAAAAACAGTTCAAAGGATTTTGTCAGCATGCATGGTCTCCCTCTGCAGCCTCCTTGGAGCCATTTCTTTTGATTTGAGCAATAGCTTGGAAACATGGAGAAACACAGGGGAAGCCCTTCAGGAACTTGCCTCCTGTGAAAACCTTTGGGCTGTTCGCCTCATCTATCTCCTGCAGGAAGAAAGACACAGCTGGCTGTTCCCAGCAGCAGACAAGAGGAATAGATCATTTCATGCTCAGCTATTGGGGAATTTAAACTCCCTCTGTAAGGCAAATGAAGCAGAACTGTATTGTGAGAATTGCCAATGCAAGGAGGAGAAAATCTCCATTTGTAGATTTTACATCATTGACATGAGACAAAAATTAAATAGCACAGGGAATAATGAAGCCAGGCAGGTGCTATCCAGAGCGATCTCTGAACTGCTGGAGCGTTTTAGTAGTCCCTATGAAGACCTCAAAGCTATGAAATACAATCCCGACTGGGCAGACGTAGTAGCTTTTAAACTCATCCTTCAAATAAGAGAAGCCATGCTTAAAGCTCATTTAATTCCAGCATCTACAAGCTTTCAAACAATATTACATCAATTTTTTGCCATTCTGAACTATGCGATCTTCTCATCAGAGAGCGTACATAAGTGCTGGATGGATAATGTCAATCTATCACTTCATCTCACCCACTATGAAGGAATCTCTTTTTTCATCCCAGTCCTAGGCTCAGATGAATTTGTGTCCATTGAAGCCTTGGTAAAGGAACTGTATTATGCACAGAGCTGCCTCCTGCAGAAGGGACAGGAAAAGCTCATCAAGAAATCTAAAGAAATCCTGTCCACGATGAGCCTTAAGATCAGTCTGTTAGCGATAGCCTGTCTCATTTACCCCATAATCCTGATATCCTTCAAGAAAATGACAGATTGGATACACAATTATGCCAGGAACCTCAAGGAAAAGACAGAGGATTTAAAAAGGGAGAGGCGGCTAGCTGAGGACCTCTTACACCAGATGTTGCCAAAATCTGTGGCCAAGCAGCTAAGGAAATACCAAAAAGTTGAGGCAGAAAACTATGACCAGGTTAGCATACAGAAAGGATGTTGTCACCAAGCATAGAAAAGTATCCGCCTAAAAAAGCACCTACCTTGCCACTGTTTTGAAGAACCTGGTTTTGCACCCATAGTTGGATGGAAATCCAAATATCCACGATGGGTTTTAGAAAGAGCTGTGCATGAAGCACTTAGGCTGATGGGGAAGGAAGAAAAGCTGAAATTTCCAGAAGTGTTGCTTTAGATGTCAAAGATCCTATATTGGCAAGTTGTCATCTTTGGGTTTAAGAGCCTTCTCATGAGAGCCAGCCACTAGATCACGAGTACACAGGAGCAAGAAACGAGTTTCCTCCTTGTAAAATGGGAAGAATCCTGAAAAAAACACGTAGGACAAATCCCATCTGTACTTGTCAGTATGATTCTGTAAACATGACTGAGAGCATGGGGCTTAGAGAAGGACGAGAGGGATGGATGATCTCGTAGCCTCAAGCGCGTAACTCTAACGAAGCCCGTCAACACAAAAACAAGGGCAGAATTGGGCCAGGCACCCCTTTATTTGCAGCTCTGCCTCACAGCATGCGTGCTGCTGTCAGTGCCGAATTCAGCAGCTGTCCTGCATAGCCCACAGCCAAAATCCTCATGCTACAGTAATTGCAATTCTAGTCACTCTTTTTCCCCTTGATGCTCCACTGCTTTCAGCTGTGAAACACAATAATAAATGTTTGCATTTAATTTGTAGGTGTCATTATCAAAACAGCAACCTGTAATTGCACAATTAATTATAATTCACAATAGTCATGACGTCAAAAGTAACTGAACCAAGGCAAGGGGTGAAAAGGTGGCTCTTCTGGATTAATTGGTATTGCCAAAGACAAGTGAAAGAACATTTTATTTTAAACACTGACACGGTTCAGGCAGCACAAAGAAGAAACAATTTGCCAACATCTATAACACACATTTCCCCTCCTCAATTCAGCTGTTATAGTTTCTGTTGTTTGTTCTTTTGTAAATCTGATTTTTTTAAAAAGTGAATTTCTCTGTAAATTACTTGATCATAACAAAGATAAACATAATTTGAAGAGAAATGAAATCCAGTTAATATTTCCTAATTTGAGTAGAGACAGCAGCTGAGTTTTTATTTTGCAGTTTGTTCGGATACCTAGTTTTGATCTCTACCACAGTTTAAATCACTTTAAAAGAAAAATCAGGATCTACTTCTATAAGTCATCTGTTGATTACTGCATTTGACTTTCAGTATCCCATCTAGCACAAGGTATTCAGAGAAGTACAGATGATAAACTGTGGACATAAGCATGACTTATCTCCAATGCAGAACCAGAACTTAATTTATGATTTTATCTACTCGGTTCTGCAACACCGGTTCTATGTGCAGCCTGTGCCTTAGGCTGTTCTGCTCAGAATTTCACAAGTCCCCAAACTTTTCAAAGGCTCTGCCACTGTTGCCCCGAGATCTTAGCTTCGCACTTTTCTTCTCCCTGTACCAGGTGACTATCTTTTTCTCGGACATCGTGGGGTTCACAAGTATTGCTGCCTCCTGTACTCCCTTGCAAGTTGTTGAGATGCTCAATAATCTGTACGTCTGCTTTGACAGCAGGATTGAGTCTTACGACGTTTACAAGGTGAGTACAAACCTGCTGGCAAGGAATCTGGAAGCTGCTGAAGTCTTTCTTACTTTGTTCCCTGGTGAATACCAAATACACCAAGCCAGCTGGCTGCAAGCCATGAAATCCAAGACCAGCTATCGCACAGGGACTACAACTACACCATAGTTTGGCAAGTGGTGGACAGCTGAGAGATATTTTATTCTGATCTTCTTTTGAAAGAAAAGCTTAGTGACACGTGCCCCTTCCCATCAGGTGGAAACCATTGGTGATGCCTACATGGTAGTGAGTGGCCTGCCAGAGAGGAATGGCACCAAACACGCTGACGAGATCGCTAAAATGTCTCTGGACCTGGTGGCAGCAGTTCGTCAGGTTGTGATCCCTCATATGCCGATGGGCAGACTGCAGCTGCGGGCTGGGATACACACAGGTACGTGTGCTGAGGTGGAGGCATGGGAAAAAGAGAATAGGACACAGTCTAATCGTGTGAGGAGAAAGGAATTCTGCATTTCTGTATGAGCCATTGAGTCTTTGCAGGACCTCGGGATGAGTACTTCTCCCAGTTCCAGCGGTAACAGTGGGGTGAAATTATTTTTTCTTGCATCAGTGTGGAAAGGGCTGTAAAATAATTCAGTATTGGCAAAAGGCCCTGATATCAGCACCAATTAGCTACAGTGAATCAAATCGTGACTTCCAATTCCCAGGGCTCTCTGAGCATCCAAAGTGACTAGCAAAGGTGTCTGCATTTGGCATCTCCCTGCGCTTTTTCCACTTGTTTCTTATTAGGGTCTCTCTGCCTTCTATTTTCTCAGGACCCTGTGTAGCTGGAGTTGTGGGGTACAAAATGCCTCGTTACTGCCTTTTTGGGGACACTGTAAACACAGCCTCCCGCATGGAGTCCACCAGCTTGCGTAAGTGAGTCAGGCACAGTCTGTGTGTTCCTCATGTGCCAGTCAGGCTCACACCTGCATTCTATCTCTCTTAGGTACTGCAGGGAAAGGAAAGCCCCTAACAGCCCCTCACGTTGGGCATGGCCAGGTGTGAAATAAGGTTCGTACAGGAGAAGGAGCATTCTCTGCAGCATAGCCCAGGCTAGAGAACTAATTACCATAGATCTAAAGAACCGGCACATTCATGAACTGCAATCCCCACTATTTCTGTACATAAACTAGTTATCAAATAAGCAAGAGAAACTCTTGTGTATCCACATGGGCAAGTAGAGTCACATCCCTTATCAATCACCTCCTTTCCAATTGCCATTTCCAGAAAGCGATGGGAAATAAGACGAGAGAGTGACAAAAGCCAAATAGCACGAGGTAAGCTGAGGCTGATTTTAAGGACTTTAACACAAAGGCATTAGGCAGGAAAACCATGGCTACATAGAAGAGGGCAGTGCATGTTTTCTTGGTCCAGCCTTTTATGCTGCCTTTGGTACCAAAAGCACCTGTTTTTACAGGTGCAGATACCTGGTGCAGCACTGCACGTTCAGTCAGTGGGTCAGTCAATCTGCTGAACTGCTTCCACATTTTAGCTGACACCTCTGTACAGTGTCACAGAGTCCTCAATCAATGTTTAAGGCATCTTCCCCTTCTTTGTGCTTCTTTCTCAACCTGACATTTTCCAAAGAGGAAGTGGAACACTGGGCTGATAAATGCAGGAGGGCTGGTGCGTGGTCTCTGGAAACAGGGAAATCATTCATTTCTAATGCTCTGTTCTGAATCCTAGCACAGAAGATCCATATCAGTTCTGCTACATATGATGCTCTTCTCACAGATGATGCATATGAAATTGAACTAAGAGGAGAAATTGAAGTCAAGGTAACAGCTTTTCTGTAATTTTGCAACTGTAAAGGCGTTTAATGAGATAGGAAGGAGATACAATAAATTTGGCCATTGCTCTTCTGTGAATTGCAAGTCAATTTTTAACTGTGGCCCCAAGGTTCTTTTGCTAATTCAGTTGGAAGTGGCTATACATTGCTACTCCTAATCGTGTTACTGTGTGCTTTGAAATCATGCAGGTGCAAGCTTAGCAGCTGTAACCACATGAACATGGGTGAAAGTGCTAGGATTCAGTTACGAAGACACATGGGTCTAAGGCTGATTTTAAACCCTTCGCAACACTGCTAGTGACCAGCAAGGCCTTTCTCTGAACTGAAAGAATCGTTAGCACCCAAACTGCATATAAATTACAATTCTTTCCCCAAACAGCAGCCATTTTTGAGAGAAGCAGAGATAACAAATGCAGTACAGGTAGCAGCCCTGGCCACAGTGATTCTCTGCTCTGCTTCATATCCCATGAAAACAGCTGTTTTCCATTCTCTCCTTTTCTTGTCCCAGGGCAAAGGGAAAATGAAAACCTACTGGCTTCTTGGTAACAAGAACTATAGTGTCCAAAATGACAGCCTGGTGTGTCACTGGAATCCAGCAATGTCCAAGAAAAAGAAGATAGAAAGTAGCCAGGGATCTGTCCAACAAGTAAGCAGGTGAACGTGTAGCAGGGTGAGACTTCCTAGATAATGAACCATTCACTAAAGGCTAAGACATTAGACAAGACCAGGTTGGATGGAGCCTTGAGCAACCTGGTCTAGCGGGAGGTATCTCTGCCATGGCAGGGGGGTTGGAATGAGATGATCTTTGAGGTCCCTTCCAACCCAAACCATTCTGGGATTCTATGACATGTAGAACTTGAATCTTTCTCCTGCAAGTAGAGGGCTGTGCTGTGCACAAACACAATCTCTGATGTGTGTTCCTCTCTGTCAATAGCGTAGTACAGGTGCTGCGGGAGAAGCACCGGCTGAGCAGAGCCCTGCGACACCCTGGGATGAGCTGAGCCCTAACAGTCACACTCAAGGTTGTTCCAGACCAGCTTGGACCCCTGACAGTGCCACCCATGGCGCGAGCCAGAAGCACAGGAATGGCTTTCATCAAAGCTCCCACCAGAGCCTCCAGGAGAACCTTACTTCATTGGACTCATCTGCTTTGGGGGAACGTGACGAAGGTACCAGTTTAGATGACAGGGCACAGCTTGGACACCATGGTATTAAAACAGTGTGGAAAAATGAGTTTCTCCCTGGTTTTGTAGATGAGATGTGATAGGATAAGAAATGACTGGACTGCCCCAGGCACACACATTTCTTTTAAATAACATTCTCTTTTTGTTCTTAGCCGTAATTCACATTTTTAACTTTTAACATTTATTCACATTTTTAATTTTTAACAAGTTTACTTGGGAACCTAAAGCATCAATAGAAATTTAGAAAGCTGTCTCTAAACAAGGAGAAGCTACAAAAGTGCAGGTGGGGTTCCACCAGGAGCACAAGCGGTAGATAAAAGATGTACAGCAACGTGACTCCTTTCACTCTAGTAAAGCTATTCTAGATTTGTATTTGTAGGTGACACAGAATTTAACCATTAAAGTCCAGACATAGTGAGGAGACTTTCAGAACCTGAGCCAGCTTATTTCAAGCTAGCCTGTACATCTGTCCAGTAATCTAGCGTTTGCAAGACACGTATAACTGTAGATAGCAGGAAAAGGAGTAAGACCCTGATGGAGAAGAGGACAGGTAAATAACATTTTGATCATTGTTTCAGAGATAGAAATGAAGTGGGAACAAAAACTACTTCTATTAAGTCTCTGCAGCACTTTGTCTTTCCAGCTCTTCTCCACTACAGAGGAATCTCCTCTCCATCTATTTTTTTATGGTGAGACAAAGATGCAGTCTACCTGTGGGAAGACGTTAGAAGGACAAACTATTTCTTCCATCAAATTGTAGTTTACTTTTCTTTCCTTGTTGGAGGAAAAGACACCACTGCAGTGATGAGCAGAGCATAGTAATTTCCTCTTCTGTGTTTGACTCCGATAACTCAGAGCAAACTGAATCACTTCCTGACACTGGCACTGGGTAACTCTAGACAGAGTTCAATTCGCCTGTAAGTGCATATATTTGTTGTCACTAACCCTGTCCTGCTAGTCGTCGCTTTTGAGCAATTCCAGGGTGAGGGAACAATTCTGATGGGAACAGAAGCACAAGTGTGGGGAGAGGGTTTGGCCTGTCTCCTCTCCCAGTCGACAGGTTCCTGTACAGCACTACTACTGCATATGAGGAAGATCTTAGCAGATTCAAGTTCTTTCTAAGGGGGGCAAGGCAGTGCTTAATGGTTGCAAAAGGCAATAAAAATAAAGGTACGTGTTTACGAGGAAGTCAACCTTGGAAAACTGCAACTGGTCTTTGTTTTTAATTTTTTTTTTTTCTAAAACAAAAGTAGCTTTATGAACTCCAAAAGAAGCTGGTCGGGGTATCTCTTTGTCATTCACTTGGCTAATAAGAACAACTGAAAAACCTCATATAAGTTGTCTCCTTACAGAATGAAAGCCAAGAACTGCTCCTTTCAGCCAGCTCAGAGAAAGTCACCGTAGGAGCATCTGTATGGCTCTGTAAAGCAAGCTTAGACTGAGGTGATGAGGTCAACTTGCTTCAAGGGCTGGGGATCTCTGAAGGTCAGCTAAAGAACTATTCTGTCTTGCAGATAAGTAAGCCAAAATTGGAGGCTGAAATATTGATGATAAAAGTAATATGAATGTTTCTACATGAAAAAGAATGACCTACAAATCTAACACTAGCACTACGGTCTCATGAAACAAGATCAGGTGGTGTTCGAAAAATATATTCACCGGCTCAAGCAAGCATTATTTCAAGTAAATTCAGTGGTTCGACTCATGCAGGATTTTGCTTCAACTACCACAATGGTCACTCCAGTCTCACAACTTACAAAAACCTAGCACGACATTTTGCCCATCCCAAGCACAACTTCCCTTCCCTCCTCCCCAGATCTCAGATGGTGTCTATACAGAACATTTGCATGGGTGCAAATACCATTTCATTTCTGTTAAAAGGTATCTGCAAGCATGTGATTAAGATTTTCCCATTAAGGTAACTGGTAAATTGCTCCAACACTTTCACACCAAAGAAAACAAATGTAAATCATATTGGAGCAAGCTGTATCGCAGAAACCCATGAGGAATACAAATCAAACACGTAAACCCATCCCAATTCTTTTTAAAGTCAGCCTCTTGAATCGAAGTGGATGGTGGCATGTTGGTTTTTTTTAAATGCTTGATGATGGTATTACTGGAGATGCGTGGAAGCTGCACAGGCATGCTTACACAGTGTTAAACAAACACACAACCACATGTACTCAAAACCATATATATAAATCTAGGTTGATGCCCAGTGCTGATACTGAAAGGCTGAAGTCCTTTTGTCTGGTTCCTGTCAGCACTCAGCCAGTGGGATCAAATGTGGATAAAAAACAGGAAAGAGGGGACAGAGATAAATGTTATTGAAGAGCCACGACTTTCAAGTCAACGAGGGAATATGCCTCAGGTGCACATATCCCCTCACAAGCAGGCATGAAAGGAACACCACTGGGGAGAGGGACAGCTGGGTACCGCAGGGCAGCTCAGAGCCACAGGAGCCCACGCTGTCTCTAATTGTTATGAAAATCCTGGGTCAGGATCAGAGGCAAATTATTTGCATGGAAAATTGAGCCTGTTCTGATCTTCATCACTTCAGAGGCTTCAGTGTGGATTATTGATTTAGTTCACGATCCACCTCACTACCTGATCATCCAGGCCACACTTCCTCCGTTTAGCTGCTAGAATTCTTCAGTGTGGATTATTAATGTAAAAAATAGTAGAAAATGGCCCTGTGTGCTTGATGATAGACTGTAATTAGTGTTTATTAACGAAACATGCTTTGGTTCAACTCTGAACAGTCCCTCTCCAGAGAGGAAGGAGGAAGCGATAAGCTGCTTTCTATGCATACAGCTGATGCTTTGATATGCTGTTTCATTTCCAAAAATTTTTGCGTTGTCTATGCCTAATACACCACAAGCCTTGGTGCGGATGAAGGCTGAGGCTGTATCAGGTTGGCTGGCCTAACTCTGAGACTGACTTTTGCCAAGATGAAACATTTTCTGGACTGAAAACCTCGTTTTCATAAAGATCATGCAGATTATTTTAGCCATCCTCCACCAGCCATACGGCTGAGTTACATGGGATGCAGAGTCTGGAAAATAAGCTGTCCCAGTCCTCTTGGCAGATCTAGAAACAAGAATCGTTGCTTCTCCCTTCAGCCAGCCTGTTCACATCTGTATTCTCACAAGGCCACAGCAGGTCGGTACAATAATCAGCATTTTCCCAGACTGAACGCCAGGTGTCATGACAGGTCTGCTTGATAAGTGGTGCACGCACAGTCTTTTGAGCATCCTTTTGGGTTGCCAAGAGAAGGCTGGAATCTAGTCCCACACACGCTTTGTCACAAGCAGTGAAAGAAGAAGAAGGGAACGTTACCGAGTTGCCACAGCATTTTCTTCTTGAGATGGAGAAGGACAGAGAAGCTAGAAGGGCAAAGTAAGTCATTTAAGACAACGGAGTAAATGGAAACAGGCCCTTGAAACAAGAAAGCGGGTAAAAACCATTGCAGATTAATAAGAGGAAATAGTAAAGAACACATATCCCAGAGTATTTGTCAGCTCCTAACTGGTCCTGATTCCCTAATCCACTCTGGCTACCACTGTTTGTTACTCTCGCCCATTCCAGGACAGTTGGGATGATCTCTATAGCCCAGGTGCAAAAATGGAAGCCAAAAAAAATCAAGGCTGAGCACTTGACTCAACTTGATGAAACCTGTGGGCTCTGCACTGCTTTTCATGGTGTTAAGATTAAAGAAGTGTCAAAATGAGAGGTGGGTGGGAAGCTGGAAACAAAAATGGTTCATTGAAACTAATCAGTTTGAGAAACTTCTTGCCAGCGACATTTCAAAGATCCCGGATGATACTGCTGGAGAAAGAGATCAAAGGTGTCCCAGACTCTGCAGTAGTAGGGGTAATCCAGGTGCTCACTCAGAATGGAGAAGTCCTGTCCTCCAAGTCCCTTCCGTCCCTCCATTAATGTGCTGGCATACTCCCAGCTCCTGCTGGGATGCTCAGCACATGAAGCCCTACTGCCACTTTTGTTCTTATCCATTAAAGCCCAGTTGAAGCCAGGTGCCCACTGTTTGGCCTTTCCAATATTCAGTAACACCAGCCCCTTTGCACTCACCTTATGTGAGCCAACAGTATTTTTAGTCCTCAGCTGAATGATGGCAAGCTGGGAAGCCCCCTGGCTAAAAGTCTCACACCCTACAGAGGCTAGGCCATATACCAAATGACCCTGGCAAACCCCAGGGTAACAGCCTTGGGGGCTATTGGTTTTTTGTCTTATGTGCCTGCTTTCAGCAGTGCTCAGAAAAGGCCCGGTGGATGTCAGCCCAGGATCGAGTTGGATGCCAAGGGCTTTTTGCCTTTTTCCTATTTATCCTTCAGGACATGGTGCATTGGAGACTGCAGGGAGTCTGTTAGCTGACCAACTGACCTGCAGATACAAGAAGCTGCTTAATTAGGAGGTCTAAAGGAACATAAGGCGTGCCTGTGTCACTCCCAGGAGAGTGACATAAAGACAACAGCTGCCTGAAAACATTTTTTCCTTTCCTATTTAGAGAGTTCTTCAAAGACATGGCTTTTTACTCTCTGCTAATTAAAAACAGCAGGTCAGGCTTTCATTGATCCTTCAGTACAAGTACTCGCACATTCAAGCTCACGGAAACAGCAAAAGGCAGGAGCATAAAAGCCCAGTAATTTTATGGAGTTTGTGCCCCTTGTCCTCACCTCACAGTAATTCCTAATTCTTCTATAAGTGCTTTTTACTTGTCAAAGCAAGTCACTGCTGCACATGCCCTTCAAGTACAGCACAGGCAGACACAAACTGACTTTGCTACAGGATCAGAACCA